TTTTTGACATTTAAATATTTTTGTTTCCTTGACAAAGGCTGAAGCCTTAGGAAACTTAAATTACCCAACAATAACTGAGGGTACATCTACACTGTAGAAATAATGCAGTTAGACACCGCTTTAACTGCCATGGCTCTATCCTATAGAATCTTGGGATTTGTAGTTGTGTGAGGCACCAGCACTCTTTGGCAGAGAAGGTTAAAGATCTCATAAAACTACAAATCCTAGAATTCCATGGGATCACACTACAGCCCTTAGGGATAAGATGGAATGTAGAAATTTATGGTGGGAAAAGAGACGGGGAGCAGTGAAGGTGTTCCATTGGTGGTATAGAGAAAGAAGGACTCTTTATGGGAAGTAAAAAAAAAGACTTCACAGAGATTTGAGGGTGGGAGAGCAGGAAGGCAACAGAAAGAGGTCTGAAGCAGGAATGGGGAACCTCAAATCCTGTGACTGATTAATCTAATTGGGTCCCATTTGGGCTCTGGATTTTCCCAGATGGTTCTCTTTCCCATCATCATGTGGTTTCTAGCCTTTATATAGTTTTTTTCCCTGTCCTAAAAAGGTTAAATGTCTTACCTAAGATGTATTATTGGCAGCAGGATCTTTAAGCTAAATCTGCTGGTATTTTTGGCCTTAGCCTTTTGCCTTTGGCCCTGCTTGTTGCTGCAGTGCTCCTCCAGAGAATTTCTCTGAAGTTGATTTTAACCCTTGAGCCAAGAGAGGTTTCCCATTCTTGATTTAGAGATTTAGATGGAACGTACTGTAGGTTGGCACGCTGCAAGAGACAGAGTGCAATGGTGTGAAAACAGTTTGTGAGTTTTTCTTGGTCATCGTTTTTTCAAGGACACTTACCCTATTGACAAGGTTGCGGGTTACTTGAAACATACTCTTCTGTGGCTTGGGTTTATACTAGGTTTTGGCAGTTTTGCTGGAAGCTTTGTCCAGTTTTCACCACCAAACTTTCATACCTCTTTCAATTTAAGTTTTGACTACAGATCAGCCCTTTTCTGGTTTATTTGGGAGGGAGTAATAATGGGTGCCATTTTGTAATAGTTTTTGATTATTTTAGAATGATTCTTTGCTTTCAAAAGTGAAGATCTTTTGTGGTGTCTTACTTGGTGGCAGAATGAGGTGGCGATGGCACATGAAACTGACAAACTTCATTTTCTCCACCTCTGGTTTCCACCATGGGAGAAAGGCTCTCTTTGTAGCCTTCTGTGTAGCTGACCGCTTGCTTTTAATGAATGACAAGGCATTTCCTACACCTCAAAAGCTACCTTCATTCATAAGAATTGTTACTGTATCTAAGTTTATCTTGGATCAAAAGGTGGATGTCAGATTTGTTCAGAGGATGTGTATCTCTTCCAACAGGGTATACTGTTTGGGACCTGCCAGCTTTGGGCTTTCCATGAAAGCCAGCATGGCATAATGGTTTGAGTGTTGGACTGTGACTCTAGAGACCAAGGTTTGATTCCCCTCTTGGCCATGAAACCTACTGGGTGACCTTGAACAAGTTATATACTCTCAGCCTCAGGGGAAGGCAATGGCAAACCTCCTCTGAGCAAATTTTGCCAAGAAAACCTCATGATAGGTTCACTTTAGAGTCCCCATAAGTCAGAAATGATATAAAGGCAGACAACAACAAGCTTTGGGCTTGAAAGTTCTATTCCTTTTTATGATCTGAGAAGTATGAGATTGGAGATCATTCAGTGACTTGTGGGGTAGTTATTTTCTAAGGCTTTTGTTTTGGTTACAGTAGGCCTAAATTGTTACTTGAGTAGATCTATTGAATCATTAGGAACTTGTTATGTCAAGCATTCCCTTGATTCAGTGGGTCTGCTGTAGTTGGGATTGAGCTAATGTAAACAATTCAGGTTAGAGAGCCAATGTGGTGTAGCAGAATTTGTTAGCAACTCCCTTGATAAGATTATACTGGATCAGTTTGAATCTGTGAGTACTGATGACATGGACAAGCTCCTTGGTAGAGTGAGGAAAACAACTTGCCCTCTTGATCCTTGCCCTTTGTGGCTGGCTGTCCGGGGGACGGGTGATGCCTTGAAGGTGTTGCTGAGAGACATCACCAATGCATCCTTAGGGATGGTCATGTTCCATCCTGCTTGAAGGAAGTGGTGTTTAGGCTGCTTCTGAAGATACTTTCCCTGGACCCCCTGGACATGAACAGCTCTGGGCCAGTTTCTTTACTACTTTTTCTGAGCAAAGTGATTGAGAGGGCTGTTGCTCTTCAACTCCAAGCTGTCTTTGAAGAAACCTATTATCTAGATCAATTTCCAACTAGCTTTAGGATAGGATATGGAGTTGAGACTGCCATGGTCACCTTAGCTGATGACCTTCGTCTGGGCATTGACAGGGGTGGACCTCTCAGCTGCCTTTGATACAATAGATCATGACATCCTCTTGGATCGCCTGAGAAGGTTAGGAATTGAAGGAATTGCATTGTAATGGTTCCATTCCTTCCTCTCGGGCAGATTCCAGAGGGTGATGCTTGGGGACAGTCGCTCTGCAAGGAAAGAGCTTAATTGTGGTTTCCCACAAGTTGCCATCCTGTTCCTGATGCTATTCAATATATGTATGAAGCCACTGGGAGAGATGATCCGGAGACATGGGGCGGGGTGTTATCAGTACGTTGATGACACCCAGATATATTTCTCCATGTCTTGGTCTACAGCTTTGACTTCAGATGGCATCTCTCCTTTCAGTGATTGTCTTAAAGCAGTAATGGACTGGATGAGGAAAAACAGATTGAGACTGAATCCAGACAAAATGAAGGTACTTACAGTAGCAGCCCGAACCCAGGTATGGGGATACAACTCCCAATCCTGGATGGGGTCACACTCTCCTCAAAGGACTGTGTTCGCAGCCTGGGGGTGCTCCTGGATCCATTGCTTCAGATGATAAATCAGGTAAATGCAATGGTCAGGAGTGCCTGTTATCAGCATCGGCTGCTATGTCAACTGCGCCCTTTCCTGGAAGTTAGGGATCTTGAAACTGTGGTGCACGTGCTGGTATCCTCTCGTCTCAATTTCTGTAATGTGCTCTACATGGAGCTGCCCCCTTACTTGGTCCGGAAACTTCAACTAGTACAGAATATTTCAGCCAGGCTGGTTTCAGTAACACCCATCTTAAGATCACTTCACTGGCTGCCCATTAGTTTCTGGACCCAGTACAAGGTGTTGGTTATCACCTTTAAAGCCCTAAATAGCTTGGGTCCAACCTATCTTTGGGACTGCCTCCTTCTGGATAATCCACCCCTCACACTCAGGTCCTCTGGGAGGAATCTGCTGCAGCCTATAAAAACTAGACTGTCTGCAACCACCCAGAGGACCTTTTCAGCAACTGCTTCCCAGATTATGGAATGGCTGCCGTATGAGATCTGTCATATTACCACCTTTAACAGCTTTAAAAAAGCTGTTAAGACGAATCTCTTCGGCAGGCCTTTCCTGAATAGATACCCTGGCCATCGAAAGATAGCTTGTCCCTGATTCTGTTGCAGTTATTGTTTACTGGTGTTATTATGTTAAATGTGTTTTAATTGTCAGTTGTTTAATAGTATGTTAAGGGAGGTGGGATTGTGGGATATAAAATGTATATTTTAATGTTGTAAGCCGCCACTGGTTGCGCTACACAGAGAGGCAGGATATAAATTTTACTGGTGGTTTGTACAGATACGCAAGAAAGAAATCTTGTGGCATGATGGATAGCTAACTTAAAACCTGGTGTGAAGTGGCAGTGAAATACACAAAATTGCTCTTTAAAATCATTTGGAAAGAGCTGAAAATAAAAGGTTATGGAAAATGTCTGTTCCTGAAATACAGTTCCAAATTTATCTGAATTTAAAATTATTGTTAGTTAAGAACCAGAATATAAAATATGTTTTGTTTGAGCAGAATCTAAGGCAGGGGTAGGCAACCTAAGGCCCGGGGGCCAAATGCGGCCC